CCCATGTAGCCCAGGAATAGCAGCATGTCAGGGCTGTGGATATGTAATTCAGAATTGGTTCAATAATCCCTCATTGAGATGGTACATTTAAAATGATTTCCCAAAACCTTTGGGCAAACGGGTAATAAGAAAAACAGATTTTCTAACAACTTGTATTTGTCATTAGCACCAAATAAGTGTATATAGTATAACTTTCTAGTTGGAAGGAAATGGATGACAGGGTTGATGTTTTATTGAATCTCAAATTAAATATTGGAATAGTCCCCCTAAATTGATTTTGGGAAATGTTCCAATTTAAATGTAACTTGTGACCTCGACTTTTAATTAAATTGTTTCTCTTTTTTCAGTAAATGTAATAAAAACTAAACACCTGAGCAACATGGGAATTGTCATTCAAACCGCAATAGATTTGAATCCTGCTGTTAATAATTTGTTTCCATTTGTGTTCTGCATTATCAATAAAACACCAAAGTGTAAAACGATTAAGCTTAAAAACTACGAGGTGGAGCCATTTAAAAAAAAAACAACAACATGCAATTTTCCAGGCAGTTTTGTAAATGGCAGCCGTCCACTGCTTGTGTCCAGTAGAGTGGACAGAGGGACAATGGATCTATTCTCAGTAGGGTTCTTCTGTCACCCGTCTCTGTCCAGCACAGCCCCCTCACCCGCCCACACACACCCTCCCTCCCCTACACACCACCTACCATGTCTTCACCATCATACTGTACACGCATGTAAGTGTGTTTGTATGTTTAAACTGTGTAGACTCTGGTGTGTGTGGTTTCTCGTAAAATAGCAAAAAAGATTACAAATAACTGATGATATATTGGAGTAACACAGCAGTAGAAAAGCTGAACTGGGATCAGTTTCATCTTTACCAGCTGCAAGAGCAAAGTGATGTCCACATTTAAGGTACATTGAGTAGGGTTTTCCTTAAAAACAAATGTAAAACTGGATTTTTATTAGCACCAACCTCTATATAAAAAAAAAAGGAGCAGCCACCAGGTGCCAGATCATAGGTGCACATTTCATTTGAAGATATGAAAATGGTGGACATGATAATAAAACATTTGAATATAGTGAGGCACAAGGAAGCAGGGAAAGGTTTAATCTGGGGTTGACTTTCACCTGCTGGCAAGAACCTTAACCTTCACACCATTGTGTTTACAAACAAAACCAACAAACCCTTCTCCTTCTGCCTTAAATACTAATTATTATCGTAGAATATATATCTCTTTTTCAGAAGTTAGCCATCTTTTAAAAGGAGTACTTTGACTGTATTACTACTTTCACCTGGTAAAATACTTCAATATGTCTTCCACCACAGCCAAAAAGTGACTAAAGTATAGTTATATATACATTTCGCTTTTAACTCAGCTGCTTTGTGTTTAAAACATGATTTTTTAAGGTTAGAGAAGCTAGTAAATCATCATTGTCCCCCTTGAAAAAACATGAATCTCACACATAAACTAAACAGCCCTGTGTTAAGCTGCTTGACATTCAATTCAAACCGTATTGTGATTTCAAAGGCCCTGTACACAAACATAGGTGTTTTTGATCATGATGTTATTCAACCAGATTTAAAGAAAGCTTACGGAGAAAGAGGACGTTTTACATGATGTCATAGGACTATGTACTAATATGAAGGTGTCATTTAGCCCTCACCTTCACATCAAATCCAAACTGAGAGTGAAAGAAATATCAATCAAGTCCAATCCGTAGCTCTGAGGTTTAATCAGCCAAAACAATTAAAAGCACATTCTGTTTTACCTATGGGTGTCCAGGGCTTTTAATAATAGTCGGATCATGTTCTCAAGTTATTAAAGAACACACAATTGTGGAAAAGACCAGACGGACCCATTGGTGGGAGACATGATGGTAACCACCTTCTCTCATGTTGAAGTTTTTGTTGAACCACTTATGGAGGTTGCACTTCTTTGTTCTTAATGGACAACCACATGAAGTTAGTTCACAGGAACATGTAAACATCAGGGGCCGTATTCACAAAGCATTTTATCTTACCGCTAGGAGTGCTCCTAACTCGCGCTAAAACATTTTACGTAGGAGTTTTTTCTTAAAAGTTATTCACAAAGCCGCTGAGACCTACTCATACTAAGGATAAATCACTAAGAGTGAACTAAGAGTGACGCGCCGTTGCTATGGATTACGTCGATTCTCGTGCTTGAGTTTAGAAGCGGTCAGTACGGTGATTGGTTGTTCAGAGCAGGCGGTCTCGGTGAAACTCATCCGCAACATCCCAAAAACGAGCCCACTAAATCACCGAAAAACAAGGAAATAGCCTAGGCTAGAAATGTATTCCTATCTAATAGTTATGGACAGTGCAGTTAGCAGAATACACGCATGATGACAAGTTTGTGCAGACCACGATAATGACGTTGTATATGCACGTTAAAGAGAGAGAGCAAACAATAAAAATACGTAAATTGCATTAAATCAGGAGGCAATTAAAAGCACCCTGCAAACTATTATCCAATGAGCATATTCCAGCACTTAAACACTTTCAATAACAGCCCATACCGCCGTTAAGCCCCCTATCATGATGAATGAAAACAATCTGCGTGTTGATGGAATGTACTTTCTTTCTATTGACGAACACGTCCTCATCTTTTGATGGCGCAATTATTTTTATGTGCGTCCCGTCAATAGCACCGACCACACCGGGCATACCTGCATTGCCATGAAGTTGGCTTTGATCCTGTGTAGTTGTTGATTGTCCAAAGGAAACCGGATAAACTGTTGGATGATATGTGGTCTAGAGAGCGCGTTGATGGTTTGGTTTATGGCACAGCTGACTGATGGTTGCGATATTCCTAAATCGTCGGCATTGCAAAGTTGCATTTTCCCTGTTGCTAAATATCGTAGTGTTGCCAAACATTTTATTTCCGGACTAATCGGGTTATTCCTGTTAGTCGGGGATGTTATTGCATCCCGCACTAATTCCACAACAAGTTTGATACCCTCACGATTTAGCCTATATCTCTTGATCAATTCACAGTCTTCCATTGTCTCCAAAACATTTCGTCTCGCAGCCATTTTCAGATTCTTTGTGAATAGGTCTTACTGAGTTAGGAGTCCTCTCGAGGACTTTTAAGCTCTCCCAGACTTAGGTGCTACTTTTAGGCCTAAAATACTTTGTGAATTGCTCTTTGTGAATAAAATTAGGAGTCCTAAATTTAAGACTGACACGCCCATTATGCTTAGGAGTTTCTCCTAAATTCGCCAGTTAGGAGCTACTTTTAGCCCTAAAATCCTTTGTGAATACGGCCCCAGTACTTTACGTTTCTAACATAAAACTCTGGGATACTCAACATTTCCAGATTCACAATAGGACTGGCAACTAAACTAACTCTGTAACATGATGATGTTGTTTTTCTGGTTTTTATTATAGAATGGTTATGTTGAGAGGAAGTAGGACCTAAATCCTGAGCAGATACATGTTATGACTCAGATCTTTAACTTAAGGTACATTTGTTGTAGCACATTATAAAAATGCTTTCTTTGACTATATTGTGTACTACAAATCTGAATCTTCTAAGTAACTAAAGCTCAGATTAAATGTAGTGCAGTAAAACTCACAATATTTGCTGCTGAGTTGTAGTGTAGTGAAAGTAGCAGGACATGAATATACTCAAGTAAGCTACAAGTACTTCGATATTGTTCTTAACTATAGTGCGTTAGTCAATCTACTCACTGTTCCCCTTTGATTATCAAAAAACGTATATTCAATTAGCAATGGGCTTGGTTATAGACAGTAAATCAATGTTTGAGGTGTGTTTGAATCGTACTGGGATGTTTTTGATAGGTGTATGGGATCCATTGCTCCTCGTTCCAGCTCTGCTTCCATGACAGAGTCTCGGCTCACAAGCTCGATGGGGCTGGTCGAACTTGCTAAAAGCCACCAGAGTTACAACCAAGACAAAAAAGGTCGAACAAGAGACAGAAACAAATGAGCAAGGCCAGAGAAAAGAGGATTGTTGTGATTAAAAGACAATTATCTGTGCACATCGACTTCCCAGTGTTGTGCGGTGTCAGGCTCGAGCTGAGCTGTTCTGTCCCAGAAGGCCTTGGGAAACAATGGCTACTGTGTCAGGAGGAGTGGGGGGGTGCGCTGACAAGTCTTCGGGTTTCAAGACATGGTCACAGCACCATGTAACTGTGTGAATACTCTTAATGCTACTTTAGGGTAAACAATATGTTTTAATCTTTTGTAATCGTAGTGAGGATGAGTTGGCAGGTGGATACAGACATATTGCCTTTTTTTATGTGCAATTGTCTTAAAACAATGAAAAGACAAAATGAAGGACTTTAAGATAGATCTTTAAAACAAGCTTTAGACCTACCTCACCAGAAGAAAAAGTACAAAAACATAACTTGTCTTAAATTCTCCAGATTGCCAGTTGCAAAGTGAAACTATGACACAGACTGAAAAAGAAAATGGTTTAAAATCAGCTTCGGAGTGACCTCAGTTCACCGTGTGGTTCAATCGAAGGACATCAAGGAGGAGTCTGTAGTGTCTTCGGTCACTGAGGCAGTTTAGACGCCTCTCATTCAACTACTGTGTGCCAGCTCCAGCTTTATGATAAGGTGGAGTAGGGCTACTCAATTAATCGGATTTTAATCGCAATTACGATTTTGGCTTGCAACGATTATGAAAACAACATAATCGAAATAAAATGATTATTGATTTATTGATATATTATCTATTTATTGATATATTATTTATTGATATATTATCAATAAATAAATTGATATCTTGGTGATGTATTTTTATTTTGTATTATTGGTTTTTCAGTTGAATTATACTTAAAGTTCAGGGTAATCAACTGTTAAAAACATACTGTTCACATTTTTTTTAGTGAATGGATAATCGTTTTTAATAAACGTGATATCAATTATCGACCCAAATAATCGAGATTATGATTTTTGCCATAATCGAGCAGTTTCTAAAGTGGNCAAAACAAAAATGAACATTTTGACTGTTAATATTTGTTGTAGCTCTCCATACCTTTCACAGAGAGAACTGCTCTTTCAGAGTATGTAAATCCATCCGAGATCCCATCCAGTAAACCATTAACTCTGAGCTGATATGCTCCAGAGTCTGACTCAGTGAGGTCGTTGATGAAGATGCTGCAGTTCCCCTGACTCACATCCGGCTGCAACAGTGAAACCCGTCCCTTGAACAAAGACTGAACCTTGGTGCTGTGCTTGTTGGTGTGGAAAATCATGTCAGAATCGCCACATCTTTGATTGGACGTTTTACATTTGTACCAAACTATATGTTTGGGTTTAAAGGCTGCAGGAGTAGAGAAAGAACACGGTATCACAACACAGAGTCCAGCCTCTGCTGTTATATCTGCTACACCAAGAGTGATACAGAATGTTCCTGCTTCACAGTATTGTCTTCCCCAAACCGATGCACCTGTTAATACAAAATCAGGGATATAGGTTATTTTAATTTCAACAACATATCATGAAATCAAATACATTCTGATTAAATAAATGGTAAAGAAAGGCTGCTATATGACTATTTTGGTTTCATAGGCTTTAACAAAAAGGCCAACTAAATGAATATCTGAAGTTAGTTAATCAATACTGCAAGGACTTGTTACTTATGAGCTGGTGGAAAAACAAAACACTTGTAATTTGGAAGCATGTCAGGAATATAATGAAACAAAGGACACTTATCATGACATTATTGGCATTATATTTTTTCAAATCTTTCCTTTTGGCATAACAACATGATGTACAAATGCATACAGTACCTGTTTCTGCATGGATGCCCCTCACAGAGAAAAGCAGCGTTGCACAGATTAGAACAAACATCCCGATTTGATACTTGAGACCGTCAGTCTTCACAGGACAAACTTGACACTGAAAGTCCAGCAAACATAGAGGAAGTGAACCAAAGGGAAGCTGCACCGCTGACACATAACTTAATACAGGACGTTGCACATTAAGATAATCTGTAGCTACAAGTTAACAAACTCTTTAACACCCAGGGGTGTGACTTCCCTGATATGTGACACATGTTCTCAAAATATATTATAAACTGTAACTAAACATGTTTCCAGTTAGCTTTAACAAATGCAACTTTGCTCCCCCCTAATTAATTTACTGAAATAACTCTGACAAATTACTATTACTATTATCCCAAGCACTCTTTCCCAAACTGAGTTCACCCTCACTTAACCACATCAAAAAGTGTTTTTGTTATAGCTAGGAAACAACTTTATGTATAGATGTACAATGTATAGATCAAAAGGCTATTTTAAACACAAATATAGATGTTTTGTTACCTGTTACCTGTAACCATGGTGCTCATTCTCAAAAAGCAGAACAAAAAAGACAGCATGAGAAAACGGACAACTGTCTCCAGTTGTTGTTGTTTTTATTTTTGTTTATGTTTGGGTAGAACTGAAGACATATGGATTTGCTTGAGGCGTGAAGTATATGTTTAAAATAAAAGAGCAAACAAACTACATCATTGCAGAAATCCTACTGTTATTAAGTAACAGTTCAAAACTCTGACCTGAATTATTATTATCATATTTGTAGAATCATGATAATTATGATCACCACAAAGTATAGGGTATACAAATCTGCTATACAACACACCGTGACAAAAGATTAGGTAAGACACATTTCATATTTTTTACTTTTTCAAATAAATAAAATGAAAAAAAGCTTTCAACAAGATATACTGGTTATTGTCTTTGTAGCTACAGGCAATATATGAATACTAGCCAGCATATCCATCCTTGAGTCAACAGAACAATGTCTTAATAAAGGCTAATGTGAGTCAGAATGGGTGGTAGACAAAAGCTTTGTTTACATGCACAGAAAACTGCATTTCTTTTTTACATTTTGGAGTTTTTAATCAAATCAAACACAACTTTAGCTGATTTGTGTGCACCATGTTTCGTTTCATTACCAATATGACTTGATGCAGGATACGACCAAGGAATTCATTTCAAAATATTATTACAGCAGTTACTATTATGAGAGTAATAAATTAGTGGTGGATATGTCGCACAGCATTATGGGCATGATATCACAAAAAATATTCTATTCATTTTTCCTAATATGTGTTTGCCCTGTGCCATTGAGGGACTGAGGATTCATCAGTATGGTGTATTCAAACTTTTTGCAGCAGGATATTTATGTGTGAACAGCTCAAACCTAAAGTACTCCTGGTAGTGTGATTTAGTTTTTATAGTGCCGCCTGCTGCTTATGAACAGTATTATGCAGTTACCACAGTGAGAGGCCTTGGCTGTATTTTGATTGTAAAACCAATTAGAAACAGCTCACAGAGACATGCTGCTGCCTTGATGAACTAAATCCATCATTACAAATGAGACTGCCACAGTGCGGCAATATTTCATAACATACATTTATAAAGCCTTAGGCAGAGCATGAGAATCAAAAGTACTTTCAATCTTCAAGAAGAGATCATAGCACATCTCTAGCTGGATTTTACGTTCCCCTTCAATCCACATCAGTACAAACAGTGTAATGTATTTTAAGGAGGAAAACAATCAGGGGACAGGTTCCACACTGTAGCAGGTGATTTTGGAAATTAAAACTATGGTCATTACTTCGGTATTTTATCCTTTTCTTGCAGAAAAAACTGACATCATAAATGTTTACATGACTGATTCAGTTGATGAAATTGTATATCTGGACACACATTTTTAAAGCATACACCATACAATACACTGTAGGTATTAATTTCATTTTTACTAATTGTTTTACGTAAAAAGGCAGTGACCAAGTTAGAGTGTCATTTGTGTTGAGTAATTTTGTTGCACTTTTGTGAGAAACAGACAAAGTGAAGACGGGGAAAAGGACTTTGGTGACTTCATTCTCTTTACTACACCGACTATCGGATTCACAAGAAATGTATTTATATCATCGGCAGACGGCAGTGCAATTCAGCAAAAATGTAATGTCATCATGTGATGCTGAACTGATAAACTTTTGAAAAGTCTGAAAAAAAACAGTGTTACAAACTAGACGTATGGAGTTTGAAAGACATTTAACAGGCAGGATGGATCTAAATAAAACATGTTGGTGCATTGTGGGTAATGTAGGATGCATTTGGTTTGGAACTTGACCCAATCCTATGAAATACTATTCTATGAAATACAAAGCTATATCGGCCTCTGCTGCTTTAATTTGATTGATCTGGAGTTTCCTTTTAAGGTTTAAAGAAACAATTTATTAAATACAGCAGCTATTGTACTTTAAATTGATCCTCAATCCCGGTCAATAACAAGGTCACTTCCTGCATGTAAACGCAGCCTCTGATTTGACTATAGTGCACACTAGTTAGAGCTTGATAGTATTTATTAAGACAATGTTCAGTCAAAAGCATGTGAGTGATGTGTGATAGGAGTATTTTTACTTTTCAAACTGGCTTTTATCCATCATTTAATAACTTAATGCCTGCAAGAAGGACAGTCATGCAGGGTATTTACTGTACATACTGGCTTCCATTCTCTAGCTATACATCTTATTAATATATATTATTGATACCATCATTATAAAGTTAGACTATTAGTAGGCTTTGATATTACATCACAGGTTCATCAAATGCCTTTGAATAGCATAAACAGCTGGCAAATCATCTGTGTCATTCAAATATTTGATGCAACCCTCTCAAGTGAAGCAATGCTAAAAACCTCCCAAAGACCCCAGTCATCAATGATCAGTGTCCTATGAGCTTTGAGCACGATTTGAACACACACACGCATACCCACACACATTGTCTAAAAGAGATAACACTTTGGCCACTTGCGCTCAAATATTTTGTGCTTTAGGGAGAACAAGTTACAGACGAAAAATAAGTCTTTCATTGGCCACAGTGCAGGAAAATCCCCCAAAACATCAACAATCCTACAGTTTACTAAAAAATAAGGCTGGGGAAAAAGCTGTGGCATTTCTCAGAACTGGAAAGTGAACCATTCGAATTTACAAAACCTCTTCAATTATTGTCAAAAGTGATGGTGACTTTTGATGCATTTATTATGAGAGGCACACACATTAAATACACTTATGTAGAAACAAGATGTAGAGATGCGTTTCCATCTCTCGCCTCAGGCTGTTATCTACTTAGGATGTAATTTAACCAAAGGAAAGAGGGAAGAGAGGTTTGCTCTCTGCTGATAGACACACATAAATATAAGAGAACAAAAAGCAACGTTACTCCTTGCCCTGATGCTTCAACTGGCAGCAGACACAGTGACAGATATAAGAGACAGGTAGTGGGACAGATGCAAGCACTCAGATGTCTTTTGTTTAAAAAGCACAATGAAGAACATGAAGAAAGCAACCAAAGCAAAGCTGCTGTCTAACACTGCATGTTTAAAAGCCCATGAACAACAACTGAGGCCAGAACTGTAAGTAATTTGTTTTCATTGTCCAGTGGGAAATGCTTCAACCCAAAGTACCAGTATTCCCGAATGAGGCATGTGAAGGGGGGGGTCCAATGGAGGAGGGACAGCATGAGGGGGGAGTAGTGGCATCTAGTGGTACTTTAGGGGTGACAGATCTGAAGAAATGTGAAACAAGGAGCCATCATATGCAGGGTGAAATCCAGTTGACCACGGGGGGTTATTTAACAGTTTATTGGGGCTGCCACTGCGTCTCGCTTAGCCGAAGGATCAGGGAAGGATCGCGTTTCATTTGGCTTTGATTTCCGTGTAGTTGCTGTCATCATCCCCCCTCCCTGAGGCCCCTTCCCTGGACCTGGCCCCGATAAACTCCAGAGCAGCGTAATTCAACTCTTGCCTCTCCAGTCCTGCCAAAGAGCCCACAGGTTGATAATCCCCGTCTTCTCCCTGCAGACAGAAGGATCGATCAGCGACACAAAACTCGGGCAGGGTGCCGGTGACACCGCAAATGACAGAAGAGCGCGACGGACAACACTACCAAAATGTGTTAGTGGTTACTGGGTGGTTACTGGTCCACAATTGACAAGGAGACTGAGATGTTTCTTGTTAGTCTGGCAAATTTGTTTTAGCAATGAGGCAGCCATGCAGCAGGCAGATTCAGAAACAAACGGCAGTGTACAGAACACAAAAGCTGATATGCGAGGAGATGTATCTGTCACTGAGGCTTGTGTTTTTAATGGGGATCTGTTTAGGAACCTTACCGTAGTTTCCTCTAGAATGGAGTTAAACTTTGAGCCCAACAGCTCTGTCTTAAGCTGTGCAAGTTAGGGGAGAGAAAAACAGACAGAAAAACGCATAGAAGCGATGAAAGCAAGAGAAAACAGTGTTCGGAAAGGTAATGGTTGGAGGTACTGGAATGCCAGTGGGAAGGACTCCTTTTATTACCTTATTTTCAGAAGTCAAAATGGGGTCTCATATATACAACTTGCTGGATTACATACAATGTTTAACCCTAAACAGTTTGAGAATGGTCATCCAACCCATCCTCCATCATAATAATAATTGACATCAGCATGTCTCACCACTTTCTTCCTCAGATTTTGTTTGTCCTTCTTGACTGCGCTGTAGTACAAAGCTGGGTTCTCCAGGACCACGTCCTGCCTAGGGGTGCCATTCTCTCTGGGGGACGGAGTCACATAGTCAGACTCGGTCTCGACTGCCACTAACGCAGGGCGACACGCCAAGCCTGGGCATCCATTTTAAAACAACAAGCTATGTAAGGTTAAGCTGGAGGTCTGTGGGTGAGTGACGTGGTTATTTTATGGGTTTAGTCGCTGAGCTCACACCCACTTGAAGGGTGATTTGTCAGAGGAAGCTTGTCAATTTGAGGGTCCAAATATGCCTTGAGGCTTAAATAAAGTTCTTGGTTAACAGAGCTACTTGGATTTTGTTTAGCGTAGCAGGTCAAGGATTCAGAAGCAGTGTCAGGGCAGGGATTTGAGTCTGCAAAATATAAGTTAGTCCAGCTTGCTAACCGACTCCACAAGGCGGCCAATGCGGATCTCCAAGGGATTCTTCTCTTGGTAAATAAACAGCTAAATTGCTTTTGAGAAATGGTTCTCACGTCCACATCAATCCCACAATCACTCATATTCAATATGCATCAATGTGTTTTAGAATGGATGACTGGGCTTAAGTGTTTCCTTGGATTTCAGAGAATGCTTAGTGAGGAAAAAGGGCTACTTCTGCCTCGCATCGGCCTCTCGATTATTTATCATGTATACTCACTTCTTGTTGTTGTGGCCAACGTATCTCACTGCTGCAATGATGAAGGCTATGACGGCCACTCCTCCAATAGTGCCAACTATAACTGCCATCATGTACTTTTCTGAAAACAAAGAACAGAATTGTTATTGATCGCACTATGCAGAGGTCAGAGGGCAAAAGCAGGCATTTGCATCTGTTAAAGAGAGAACAATCACTCTTCTCTTCGAGTGCATAAGGCCAATTTGTGAATATGGTTTCAAGGCCTTTTTGTTGATATCTAAATACTCGCAGACCAAAATACAACCATTCCTACTTGAGACGTACATGTGAAAGCAAACTTCAAACAAATTTTAAACAATCCTAAAACAGCCGGGCATTACAGCGGCTGGTGGTTTTAGCAAACATTACTCAAGCTGGAGGAAAAAGGTTTTGTTGAGAAGTATTTTCTGCTGCAGATCAATAAACAATTATCTAATTTACAGCTGCAGGAGAGGGCTCAGCTCAAAATAAACTACAGGGCCCATGTTCATGGTAGAAAAGGACCATGTCACATTAAAACGGTCGAGCTGATTTATGTGTTTTTGGACAACAATGGAGCTCTATAGCACAGAGGAATATATCAGGCTTGGCTGCACACACAACAATTGCCAATAAAAACAATTTGCTGTTGTTGACAGTAAGAAAAACTAGAATTGTACTGAACTTTCAGCATTTGAATGCAGGATTAAGACAAATAGGAATTCAGACAAATAGGAATAAGAAAAACTGATTCTCTTGCACTAATTTATCAGTTGTATTTGTTCTATGTCCTGTATATATTCATGTTGCACTGTTGGAGGAGCCTGTGACCTAAGTTTTTCATTTCCATATCAACACTGAAGCTAACAGTAAAGAAAAATTGGCAGAAATAAGACATTCTCATTCAAATTGTATCAAGCGTCCGTGCGAGTAAATACTCAGATGTGGTGCATAGTTGGTCCCGACTCACTCTCCTGCTGCAGCTCCAGTTGTACGCTCTCTCTTCCGTACGTGTTGAAGAAGCTGCAGTGGACGTTGACGGCTGGGCCTCCGTTGTCTACCCGCTCGCCTTTCTCCCGCAGCTTGATCATTCCCGTAGAGGTGTGTCCGTCAGTGTGTGTGTAGAAGTTGTACCGGCCGTCTGTTTCGTTGATGGTGACATTCACATCGGGCAGGTAGAACTCAATGGTGGGTTCAGGGTTTCCTGTGGCAATGCACACACACTGGACACCCTCCCTCACCACGGTGCACTTTGACTCCTCCAGAAGGACAGGGGCATCTAGTGAAGGAGGCAGAAAGAGCTACAATAACACCATTGAATGTGGATATATGTACACGTCAAACTAAACTTTTTGCTTATGGTCATTTTTTCCTATTTAAAGGTCCCCTATGATACTGTTTTTCATCAATATATTATAGGTCTCAGATATATAAAAAACATGTCTCTGAAGTGTTTGGTTCGAAATACCAATTGTAGCCATGCCATAATCCCCTCTGTTTCAGCCCTCTTTCAAAAGTGCTGATTCTGTGTCTTTTACTTTAGATGAAAATAAGGAGCCCCTCCCCACGCCCCTCTGAGAGACATTTGGTTAAAAAAAACAAAATGGTGCTCTAGGAGGAGATGCAGGTGATAAGATGGGCGGGTGTTACCTTGGTTGGTTATTTGCTAATGACACAAGCCAAAAACGTTAGGACATCATAAAGTGGCCAAAATCTGATCAGCTCATTTTCAGACAGGTTTTTACATTAATGGATAAGGACAAAAAGAGAGGGGGTCTTTGTTCCTGAAACGTTCAGAATCGATTCTGCATAATAGGTGACCTTTCGAATCTGAACGTAATAATTTGTTACAATAAATAAATATAATTTTCTTAATGGAAGAAGGATGTTTTTGAAATTCTGCAATACATAGAAGCAGAATATTATACTTTTAATGGTTTAGAAACTTTTGAGACGCTGGCTATACACCCAAGAATATAATCCTGTTGACCTGCAGAATTGTGTTATTCTACTGTCCTATATGTCCACACTCATGTTGGGTGAAATGCAGGACAAGCACTTACACTCAACAGTGATGTTGAAGGAGCTGCTGGCTCTTCCATGCTCGTTCTCGGCCAGGCAGCGGTACTGTCCGTCTCCCTGGGGGGTGACCTCCACAATCTCCAGCACTGACAGCTCGTCGGCGGTGATGGTGCCCACCAGCTCCCCGTCCTTCAGCCAGGTGAGGGTGGGGGCCGGGCTGCCCTGGGTGCTACAGTGCAAGGCCAGCGTGGACCCCTCAAGTATCGTCATAGAGTCGTTTACCACAGGCTCGCGGGGAGGGTCTGCAACATTTAAAGAGAAAATTGTATTGTTTCTTTACCTTATCCAGATTTTGTATCAGTCTCTGTATCCTCACATAGTTACAACACGCTACCTTCATTAATAACAAGAGACAGCATTTTGGTATTGCAATGACTTTGGCCATTCAGGGTCAGTGGAAACGAAGGACAGGTTATTTTCAAGTTGATATGGCAATCTGTGATTCAGCGGTGGCTTACATACACACATCCGGCAGTTACAGAGCAACATCATCATTCATTTGGAGTCTTGTTTCTGGAAGCCCTCTCTCCCTCTCCAAATCCTCAGGGAAACATCTGGATCTTAAGCTGCTAATGCTGCTCTATTTTTACCAGATAGGTGATTGTGAAAATGTGAAAAGCTGCTGTCTGTTTTCCAAAAATTGAGATGTAAGAGCAGTGAGAGCAAATATCGGCAATATGGCTGATATTTTTTCTGTTGAGTGACCCCTTTTTACATCGGTTTTTTACATTTTAGTTTGATATATTGTTATTTAAAGGTTATATCATCTATAAACATTTTAATCTCGAACAGCTAATAAACAGAGTGAGGTTCTCTGTTTCAGAATAAAATATGTATTCATTTTAATGAATGGAAATGTTCAATGATACGTTTGGGCAGAGATCTCTGGCTCTCAAAACACACAACTAATCCAACCTACACACTACACACTACACACTAGCTGTTAAAAAGGAAGGTCAAAGCACTCCTGCTGTGTCCCTGTTTCATACAACATGCTAATGATCAGCAGCTTTTTAATATGTAGTTCAGTGCATACAGGCGTACAAACAAAAAGTATACTCAAAGCTATCACTATGCATACTAAATCCAATCAGTTGTTTAATTGGCTGTTGATGAACACTGTGGTTCCACAACAAGACCCTTTTTTTTGTAGATTTGGCAGTGGTATTCTAAGGTCACAGTCTGACTGTGTTTTGTGTTTGCACACATTTAAAAATAAATATTTTTGATTTATGACACTATTAGTACGTTATATGTATTTAGGACACAGCTTGACATTTTTTATACAATACACGTTTTTTTTGTTCTGTCCTTGCCGGCTCGTGGCTCCGAAGCTTTGCAGTGCATATGGATTTATTGATTAGGCAAGGTAGTTTGGAAAATACTGAGCGTCCAGATCAGCAGCAGCTACAGTATAAATGTGATTGGAGAAGTTTCTATGAATGTTGAGAGACCTTTTATTTTTGTTGTTGAAATCTATTGAAGCTGAATTCAGGTCCACTACAGCTGCTTTCCTTCAGAGAGGGTGAGGAGAATGACCCAACTATACCTTCATGGTTTCTGATTGGTATCATTTAAATTCACAGATGCAAATGTAATGTAACTTATTCCTGATTCCATATTAGATGCTAACTGTATACAGAATGCATTGTATGTTGGTTGGAATTGGGACAAAGCTGCTGTATCAGAAACTTACAATTGACAGCCAGGTACAGTGAAGTGTTCATGATGCCGTAGCCATTGTCCCCGTAGCACGTGTAGATTCCCTCCTGTGCAGGCGTCACATCGTCCAGGGAGAGGGAGACGTTGGACGCCGTGTCCCACAGCAGCTCCTGGTCTCCAAACATCCAGGAAATCCTTGAAGGAGGGTTACTGTCCACCTCGCAGTGCAGCATCACAGAGCTGCCCTCCATCACCTCCGAGGACACGTTCACCCACACAGAGCGCGGAGAGTCTGGGAGGGAAAGCAGAGAGTTTCATGTCCCTGGGCTCATGTGTATGACCGCCTTTTTTAAAACAGGGTTTACATATATATATAATATACACAAATATAACAGTGATTAATGCATGCATGACTTAAACGCTAAAGAGGGTACATTTATATTTGGACAACCTCTGAGGCTTTGCTTGAAGCCACTCAAGAAATAAATTGGCTTTTCTTCCCCTTTACTTTCCTTTTTCTTGTATTTTGGGTTTGTCTTTCATGTGGCTTTGTATGGTTCTTGTGAGTTTGAACTTTGAACAGCAAGATGACACCTTATAATTTAAGTAGCATGTTTAAAGCTAGCATTCGTTTGTAATGAAAATGATGAAAGGGACATGCACATCCCAGTGTCTGAAAGAATGGGTTAGAGTAACAGAGAAAGGAGAGATGCCGTTGTGCAAAGTTTCGAGCACAAGGTTTTTCTTTTGATCCATTGAGATGCACAGCAGTACCTTGGTTATACAAACATGATTATGTGTGTACCTTAAACTGTGATTCTCAATGTTTACTAACATTATTTTTTGTCTTTTCATGTACCATAGTTGTATATAAAGCATCCTTTTGAGATTATTCGAAATTGGAAAAGCATCATTATTACTTATGGCCTAAAAGTGGGAAGTGCCTTTAAACTTACACTTGATGTCCAGAGAGATGAGCCTCTCATAGACCAGCGTGGTGTTGGGGTAGTAGACCCTGCAGCCCAGGAGCTGCCCGTTGTGCATGGGTCTGGGTGTGAAGGTGAGGGTGCTGGAGAGCACGGCCGTGTTGCCATCCTCCAGGAAGTCAGCGCTGATCTCCGGGTCGGGCAGGTAGTCGATGTACATCCACTGGATCTCTGGAGTCATCTCGGGGCAGTTGTCGGGAGCGTAGCACGTCAGCTCCAGGCTTACATCGCTGACAATCTCCTCCGGGACGTCGATGTTGGGTTGATCTGGTGGACAGGAAGTATCTTTTCTTAATAATAGTAAAAAGGGATTCAAAAGGGTAGCATAATATCTTCATGCAGAGATACAATTTATCAAAGGATAGCTATAAAACTATAGTATACAACTATAGAAAAAGACACTAACTTAAAAACACTACAGTAAGTGTACGAAGAAAATAATGATATAAACAAAAAAATGTATTGAAAACATGAAGAAAAAAATAGAATAATAAAAGGAACATTAAAACTAATAATTACTTAAAACATTTACTTTCAAATAATATTTTTGGCTATATTTCGAAGTAATTACAGACAAACTTTTAAAAATCATTTATTTAGCAATTACTGATTTTATTCTGCTGGTTGTTACAGTTTAATGTACATTACACTCATTGACCTACCCAGAACTTTGAGCTCAGAGAAGTCTGGGTACGTGTACATGTTGGCTCCCCCGAGGTCAGCACGAAAGTAGTATTTCCCCGAGTGCTCTGCTCCGATGTTGTTGATGAGCAGTGTGCAGTTCCTCTGGTTGAGGTCACCCAGCAGCTTGGTCCGTCCTTTGTAGCTCTCATGCACAACGTCTGTGCGTGATTTGAAGACAACAGGAGGGAAGAGTTGAGGGTAGGGCTGGCCGAAGTACCAGATACCGTGAGTGCCACGGTACGGCCTGATACCGGACGGATACATGAATGTGCACGGGATGACCACGCAGGAGTTTGTCATGGCCGAGATGTCCCGAGGTACCCAAACGTTCCACTGGCACCTGGCATCTGAGAGAAGATCAGAGACAGGGTGTGACAACATGGCATGCATATTCCAACTGCACCTTGAACAATAAAAACTAATTAAGAAACACATTTCTGTATGCAGCAATGTTTGGCTTATTTGAAGCAAATGCAGTAGCACTAACAAAGGTTTGGCTTATTGGATCAAATCAACAGCATAACGTAATGAAGTGTAAGTTAATGGTGAAGTGTGAGGTACAAAATCAGAATAGGTCTGCCATCACATGAGGAAGAGATGCAGGAATGTATTACCGTTGATGATCAACAGCAGTGGTAAAAGTAGCTCCAAACACCACATGGTCTCGACTCGATGCTGAAACACATAATGTCCTGTCAGTCACAGCAAATGCATCATCAAGAAAAGAAAACCTTAACAGCATGGGTTCTGCTACGTGACTCAGATGCTTCGTCTACCTCTAAGAATCACACAACTGCTCAAAATGTTTTCTGAGATTGAACAGTTTAGTTTCTGGGTTTTATATCATGGTTCCTAAACCTTCATCAAAACCCCTTTGCAATATACGTTTTTTTGGACTGCTGGAAGTGGTGTAATTTGCTCAACCCACAGAGGAAATGTTGTCTTTTTACTGAATCACTGATCACCAAAATTGGAGTGAAGTGATGTTCGCCTCACCATGTGATACTTTGCAAAATGAAACAGTATTTTTTTATTTAGCAATTTCCAACAAGCAATTCCAAATTCATATTTTCATAACTCACCACAGACGGCTCTGTATCAGTTTTGATCTACGTGCATTATATTTAATTGGTAACACAGCAGCAGGGAATCAAAGTCATATTCATCCACAAAAACAATGCAATGCACTCGTTTAGTCACAGCAATAAATCGAACAAAAGGTAAGAAACAGCAGACGGATAATGTCAGAGTTGAAGGGTTGACTCCTATTTCTTACATTGTTATTATAAATTAGTATTAATCAGCACAGAATGGGGCACATAATATACTAGATGTACGAATAATCCTCAGACTCTCTTCACTGAGATGGGAATGTTACTATTAAAAGCAAGCCGCTGTGTCTGTAAATGCTTTGGCTAAACTTGGTGTATGACTGTGTTGTGATTGTGTGTTTTGTAATTGTTTGTAACTGTAAAACTGTCTGAAACTGTGCTGTTACCATTCTTGGGCCAGGACTCTCTTGAAAAAGAGATTTTTAATCTCAATGAGACCTATCCTGGTTAAATAAAGGTAAAATTAAAAAAATTTAAAAAATTAACATCTTGAATTCGATGTTTGAACTTATTACCATTTTATAATTAGTGAAGGTCCTTAATGTATTTCAGTTGTTTGAAGGAGCTATTTTGAACTATTTTTGAGTTAATCTTTGTCCATGTGCGGTTTTAGTGTAAGAAATTGTAACTTAACACTTTGGATACTTATAACTATACCTTTAACTCTGGCTATAGAATACACTATAGTAAATTAAGTTAGTTTGTCAGGTGTTAATATATGCTTATTAAAATCAAAACTGAATTCATTCTCAAGCATATTTTTTTAATTGTTCACTGAATGTATTTTGTGTCCAAGCAATAAAGAAAAAACATTGCAAAGTCCACATGTGAAGACTTTTAAAACGTGTTAAATAACAAAAAATAGTAGCTTGTTAGCATCGCTTCATAGAAATACCCTGCTGTGACTTATTGCTTAAGTTTACCCTGAAATGCTGATGCTAAGAAACAGACAGGCGCTCTGGTCAGCAGCTCCACTAGAGGGTGTTCACTTACACCCAGACAGCTCCACAGCCTCCTTCTCTGTAAAAAAAAAAAAAAGAAGAGTGACATCAGCATCATCAGGCAGTGACATCACGGACAGCCCCCTCACTCCCACAGAGCCGTAGTAAGTGACATAAGCACACAAACCCAGCGTCAGCCAGCACCTGCTTGCTCCCTCTCATCACTCATTACGGCCGCCACACGTAAACCCGTCCAATGAATGACACTCACTGTTGACGAAGCTCTGACACAACAACAAACTCAAGCCACCACACATCATGTCATCAGCAGAATACAACTATCTGTGCTGTGCTAGAAATAAATCAGGGGGTAAGTAGGAGGGACCGATATTCAGTGATGACAAACAAAGAAATGACACTGCATTTATAAATGAATAGCACCAGAAAAAGGCTCATAAATCCATTAGCATCAATGCAGCATTTAGTTCCCAAATCCAACAAGCCATGGTTTAGCTCAATAGATATATTACATGAGGAAACTACAAGTCTGTGTGTAGAGTTTGTTTTGTGTCTCATTTGTTTTTCAATTCAATTCAAAACCTTTATTTATTCAGGTGAAAACCCATTGAGATCATTGACCTCTTTTTCAATGGTGACCTGCTTTTTCTTTTGCCTTCTATAGTCTGAGATGTCAGCTCTGTTCTGGAGCCACATAGAGGCCCATATAAAGAACTACTTTTTCAACACCTGTTCTGGTAATTGGTTTTTGGAAATGTTTGCAACTACATTAAAACTAACGGTCGGGTCGAGTATTGACTTCAGCCTCTGTCCCCCACAAATAGTTTTATGTAATCAGATAGCCATTAGAGAGCGATAATGCTCAATAAACAAACTTAAAGAAGATATTGACTGATTGCTTTATTTATGTTTACGCATCATTTTCTGTATATCAGGAAGATATCTTTAGTGAGCTCTTTCATTCAGTTTAATAGTGGAATTGTGTTCTCTGTAATCTCCATGTAAATACAATTTTGTATTGAGGCACCATTATAACTCTGTCTGTCATGCTGTACGTGTGCCAGGGTTTTTCTCGGTCACCATTGCCTTCTTACTTTTGTTACATAAGTCAAACTAAGAAGACAAAAACCTAGCACTGCTTATTGATTCACAATAAGGAGAATATCAATCTTCATGTCATGTCCTACCTTTGGTGACATGACACTTTCATAGTTGAAAAAAGGAGTTTCCTGTTTACGTTTAGACATTCATTAACATAGATTGTTCACACAGCAGAATTTAAAGTTGGTAGTTTATACACGTTTCAATATTTTAAAGATTTCCTTCATACATTTTATTTTGCTGTGATGAGTATTTTAAATCTAACAGATGATATAAAAGCAAATGTGCAACATTTAAAGAAAATACAATTGTAAATAATGTCTTTCCACTTTAATGTATTGTAAAGTCACTGCTTATTAAATATTTTTTGCGTATTGTGTTTATATACTATTTCAACATGCTATCAGTAATTCACTTTTATTATTCATGTTTTTAAGACATTTGTACATTTTGAGATTCTAAGTAAATCAAATGTATGTTATGTTCATGGCGACTGTAGCTTGTTCAGTGGATGCAGAAGGCAGAAGTAGAAGCAGAGGATCGAGCCTCGTGTTGCAGCAGCCTGTGTGTGCAGATGGCCGGCCCAAGAGTGGATTGTGTATCAGAGCTTCGTGATTAACACATCCTAGCATCCTCCGGAGAATCCATGACCAATATTAGCCTGGTTGTTCAAGAAGAGTGAAAAAAATGCTGTTGTTCTGACATTGCAAGAGGCCATTGATCTGTCCTGCTGCTCATCATCGTGCATCATACAGTCACAAAATGGGAAGGCATGTTTTCGAACACTAATAGAACATTCACTTCGCAAAATGCTTCCTTCTACTTTTCTCTAATAATAAAATCCCTAACGTTTTTTTTTTATGCTACTCGGAAGCAGAGGAAACGAGTCATTGACACAACATTGAGCTTTTAAGTAAGTATCAGAAAAAGGTTGCTTAATTAAACATCCAGCAGTTATTGAACACGATTAGCATTCAATTGTAATCATGTTTCTGGCCACATGTCCAATATTCACTCTGATTTAGCTCTTTTCTGGTCTCGACCAATACCCGACCAATAGTTCGTGCTCGACAGCTGCTAAATGCTCCTATGCTTTTTCCATCTAGTCTCCGGCTGTGTCTGTCTGCAGTTTTGTGCCGCTAAAGGAGGTTTAAAGAGCTTATTTCTCTCCGATTTGTCCGAAAACAACGCTTTGTGAGCCGTGAGGGTAAACCAAAACAGTAAAGATGCAGGCGATATAGATAACCTCACTGAAAAGCTCTGCAAATCTGAGGGAAGCTGCAGATTCAGATGAAACATCCCTGTATGTTCATCACTATGACCTATGCTTTCTCACATTTAAGACACTGTTGTGAACATATCAATTACAGCCTCTTCTAAAATAAACATCTCACATTGGAAAAGGTCACATTCTGAGACGTCTTATAATGACGCATCTGTTGACTGTGACAATCCGAACTGTGACAATCCTAACTTTTTTTTCCAAAGTTACGTCAAGCTCCACCATCTGCACTGCAACAAAAGGCCAAGAGCGTCGTTCAGGCATCAGCAAGGGCAGGAGAGAATGGAGCCGGGCGGCCAGGCAGGGCCACTGACACCACCACCAACCCAAACAACAGCCTCATTGATGGGGCAGACAAACGTCTTGCACAGAGCACACAGCATACGTGTGCACACTTAGATACACACACGCGACACACACGCAAAACACTTGCCTCATACCAGCCTCAGCACCAAGCTCCTGCTCCCTCTCAGTCCTGACTTCTTCGTCTTCCCCTTGTGTTTGCTCTGCCTGAGCTAGTCGTCTTTCTCTGAAACTTGGATCTCAGATTCTGTGGGAGAAAATATAAAAAAGGGATTTGAAGAGAGATGTCGGAAGGAGACAAGAGGAAGGGGAAAAGAGGGGGTCTGTGTGAGCTCTGGTTTACATGTGTCGTGGGCAGCTCTGAATATGCGTTCAGGCATTTCTGGAGCTGCTCTATGGCCCACTCAGCATTCCTTTACTTGGATGGACCATTGCCCTGATATGTCCCATGTGTCTTGATGCCTTGAACTCTGGGCCTTGATCATACCTCAGTCTGAGGTCAAAGCAAAGTCTGTTGACATTAGTGGAGCTGTTTCATGCTAGGTGCGAAAGACATAAGGGCAAATGCTGCTCTGTGAAGTAATGATGACTCAATGTCACTTTCAGAAGGGCTGCCTTAGAGCAACATGCGGAGAGTAGGAGGAATATAGAACTTGTGAGATGAATATGGTTATGTTAATCATATATTTACATTAGTTTGATACAGAGTTTGATGTTGGAGTGTTCATTTGTTTAATTATCACTTAAGAGATCTTAGTCGCTCTATTAAAAATCTGAAAATTGTTTAAATCTCAAGCCAAGTCTGGATTCATTTGAATTTCAGAAATGCAATAAGGGCAGCTAAACTGATCTGTCCAGCCATATGCAGATATAATGTTTTCCTTGCTGAAATATGTCTGTAGGCGGGAAGCACAAGCATATATCCACTCAGAGGTCCACGTAGTTGACATAAAACAAAGGCAACTTGTCTTTCCAAGTGGGGCACTTTTTCCCCATTCTCATTGTTACATGTATGGTGAGTCACTGTGTCCAAAAGCCTTCAGGCCACTGGCCAAGTGATGGCATCGACCGAGCCATGGTTAACCTCAAGGGAATCCCTCCGTAAACAGTCTGGAGAAGAGCTGAAGAGGAGAATGCCGTACTGACGCTCTGGAGCCATGTACAAACGCATACGCAGCATGCCATACCCCCTACACACACATGCAGCATAAGAAGAGCCAACACAGTCCTCAGTGAGGGGCGGACAGATATGTGACCTTCCTCTGCATCCCCTATATGCTGTTTGTAAGCTCAGTCTTCTTCATTGTCCTGCTGGGACTATAGTCATTGTGAGGACAGTATGTATTCAATACATTCCAAAGCAGAAGGAGTGACTGTCCAGTTGTTCAGAATCATGTCATGTTTTTTTCTGTCTCAAAGAAAGGGGCAAAAAGGACCAAAGAAACTACAAGTGATAGCATGTTGAAGAAGTATAAACAGACAATGCCTGGTTTAGTTTCGACCTGAAGATCTGATATCCTTGCTGCTTTGTGCAGACTCTCCTCTACCAAGGTAATCAAACCTCAAGATAATCACTTATTCCACAGCACGCTTCAGGGATACAGATGCTATCTGAACAATCAGCTTGGCTAAATCAGGCCATGGCACCTTTTATGAGTCACTTTACATTATTGAAATTGCTCACACAAGCTAAGAGGCTCACACAAACAATCGACTGTGCCAAGAAGAACATTTTCATTGTGAATATTGTCTGCAATCCGTGTGCAGGAGCTTCGCCGTGGCTCTTGGATAGGGTGGGAAAGAATGGGAACGTTGTATGCAGAACACTGCCCATTGTGCAAGGCAGAAACTGGAGGAATTTTTCCGGAACAGGCCCGCTCACAGCTTGCGCTTTGCTGTTTGCCTGTGACGCGCGTTGGTCCACCACAAGCTAAGGCCCCCACTAAAATACTCAGAGGAGCAGATGGTCTTAAAACATGACTGCTCCCCCTCCCACCACACACACACACACACACACACACACACACACACACACACACACACACACACACACACACACACACACACACACACACACACACACACACACACACACACACACACAGAGAGAGATATGCCAATATCCAGTCACCCAGTCTGTCCAAGGTACTGCAGGGAGTGCTGGCATGAATAAGAGATTCAAAGCGTACTTTGAGGTTATCAAAGAGGATTATGCCAATACTGCTTGCCTCTTACAGTTGATATTTTGCCGTGTATCTAATGTGAATAAAGTTTTGTATTGTTATTGCACATAATGTATGAATTAATTTAGGGTGTTTTCATCTTTACCACTCCTCTGTGTAGTTTCTCCTACTGCTGTTGCAATTCCCTTTTATTTTATTTTAGTCTTTTAAGGAAACTCTGATTCTGTTTTAGTTGTATCTTTAAAAATATGTCAGAAACCATAAAAGGTGACTTCAGGATTGTGTGTCTCACTCCCTCCCTACAATTGTTAATAAATAAATAATGCTACATGCATTTGTGCATTTTTATGGTTTTAAAATCAGCATCCACTTCATTTCTGAAATCACAACAGCACATTCAGTGACAATAGATACACTTCACTTGGCAGATCATCAACATAACATGAGATCAGGAGCACCAAAAAGCTTATTTCCATCTTTTCTACCTGGCAAGTGTCTCTGGCAATCCCCGGCCCAGTGGGCAGATGGTGAGCCACAGGCCTCCTCTCATTAGAGAGCTCTCCCTTCCGCTCCGAACAAAAGGGGGCGACAAACAGAGCAGTCACCTGTTCAGCCATCCCAATGCTCGCTAAAACCATCCACTTGACTTTAAAAATGCCATCTAATTTTTGTGGAATTTAAAAAGAATGTCATGTCTTTGCACTTGAGAAAAAGAAAGTATTGGTGGGTGACGTTTTCATTCTTGAAAGACTGATCCCAGATGAGTTATCTTCTGTTACATTATTAACACAAAATGATGATAAAAAGCTTTAAAAACACCCTAAATCTTGTACTGAAAATCTAATTTGAATGAGAACTTGCTCAACACACACCACCATCATATTAATATATATTAATATCTTAACATATATTAGGAAGAGCTATAATTAAAGGTCAAAATCTGAAACTCAAATGTGTCACCACTTGTGTGATTTAACCTCAACTGGACCTGTTGTGCTTTGAAACACGATCTATTTCAAAATGTACCAATCAGGCCATAATTAAGAATTAGAATTACACAGCCACATCACCACGGAAACACTTGTGTCTCAAGCTGTTTAAAAACTGCACCAATCTCTCTATAAACCTTGTATATGTGAATGCAGTGAAACACTGTGATTTCTGAAAAAGTAATTAAAGAAAATCTATCTTTCCTTTATTTTAATAATGCCGATCACTGCTGCTAAATTACTTGTAACATTGGTCTGCTGTCTAATCAGAGGCTCTTCTACCTGGCATCAGATTTCTGTTTGGATGTGGGAATACACTCTAGTAATTACTGCAACGACTCATTGCTAATGTCACTAATAGCGAAAATCTGTCCAGTAATGATTAGCTAGGCTTTTTGCAACCCCCATTTACAGCAAGCAAGCAAACATACACACACACACACACACACACACACACACGCACACACACCACACACACAAGCAAACATACACACACACACACACACACACACACACACACACACACACACACACACACACACACACACACACACACACACACACACGTGTCCACGCTTACAAATCACCACAAAACATGTTCACACACACACTGACCTAACACAACCTAACAAGCACACACTCACCCTGACTGTATGTGTTTGACCTTAAATAACAAAAAACGAAAGTAGATAGATGGATAGATAGATAGATAGATAGATAGATAGATAGATAGATAGATAGATAGATAGATAGATAGATAGATAGATAGATAGATAGATAGATGAATAGATGGATAGATAGATAGATAAATAAATAGATAGATGGATAGAGATGGCACAGGAAGTGTTTGCATGTGCATTCATCCATTTCTCTATCCCATTCCTTCTTTCTTAATGAAAAAAACTCAATTTCCAAAGCTCCCAAGGGCATAATAAATAACAAATCAGAATACACTGCAGCTGCTCACCTGTGTAGGTGACCGTGGCCGACCTCCCAGCACTCAGCAGCTCCTGTATGAGCGGTTTGAGCAGCCTTCCCTGTCACACTCGCATGCAAAGCGTCACACCAGCCTGTTGCAACTCAGATCTCTCGCCACTCTCTGTACCAAGCCCCAACGGTGGGGAATAAGCTGCCCACCCCACCACTGCTGCCACCCTCATCATCATCATCATCATCATCACCACCATCACCCCTCCCCTAATGAAAATGAGTCCTTCAGTGAAGCAGCATTGTTCTAAGGCTTCGCTCCGAGGCTCAGTCATTCATAAATAAACATGGGGCCACAAAGGGCCACACTGTTCCTCCTCGCCCCAACAAATATGGGTGAGGCTTTGAGCTCCGTGGCCTTTTCAATCCCCCATGGACAGTCGCTGTATGCTGAATGGGACTGAGCATATTCGATTATTTTGTATTGATTGAGAACACATCCACATTATTATTTTTTTCATTATAACAAAAGGCAGGAAGTGATTTTGGGAGGGGGAGATGCGGAGAATGAGGACCAATATGAGTCAAATCTGTCACAGTTTTGAGACCCAAGTAAACGCTTCAGAGGCCACAGAAACTAGAGTACCAGAACAGTGACTTTGCATTTCTTACCCCAATGGCCACAAATCTGCCTTTCAGAGCATGACACTAGTTCAAATGTTTAAATGTATTTTCCCACCTTCAAGGCAGCCACGGGTCTCTATCCATTTCACTACCAAGAAAATCTAAATGCTTAAAAATGTTACTTGCTTTTGTTTTTAAAGTCACATGATCATCTTGTGGGACTACATAAAAAGTGTTTGCATTTGATATTTGACAATGTGTCGAATTGGTTCATTTAGGTTTGATTGACAGACCTTTAGTTTATATGAGGCATCACTGTTTGTTCAGCACATCTGTGTTATTGATTGAATAAAAGGTTTGAGAACATTTAAGTGCACTGGTCATAATTAAAGCTTCAATGACAATGTGAACGTTTTTACAAAATGGACACTCATACCAACAGTTACTTTGATATAACGTGGACTCAGCATTAGTGATACTGTATGTATATAATGATGAAAGGAGAACGCGTCTTCTTATAGAAAGAAAGCTGAACTACACTAATATAGCTGTATTATCTTGATGATAGTTTTGCACATATGACTACTGGGCTTTACTCCACTTTAGAAACTGCTCGATTATGGCAAAAATCATAATCTCGATTATTTGGGTCGATAATTGATATCACGTTTATTAAAAACGATTTACTTTGAAAACGTCNCAATACTCACAGGTCACATTAAGAGTCACAGTCTCCTCTGCAGTGATGTTCAGCTGAACACCACAACAGCAATGTTACCTGTGAGGTCAGCTTCAGAAAAAACATCACTGCAGAGGAGACTGTGACTCTTAATGTGACCTGTGAGTATTGTACATACTACACTTAAACACGTCACATTTTCTTAAAAAGGAAAGCAGTTATCAAAGCTCCTGCTGATCTTCTGAGAAATGTTTGAAGTTTTGCAGCTTTAAGATCTACATTTTGGGAAAGATCTGTTTTTGGCAAAATATCTGATGCCTTACTAACACCTTGTTCCTGATGAGGATCAGAAGATTGTTTAAAGGTCATATGACATGTGCAACGCATATTTATTCAATTGCTCCTATTCCTATGACATTTATTAACCAATTCAAATAACTTCCACTAATTAAAGTCACAATCTAGTTTTCCACTTATTTCATTAGTACAATTATTTAAATGTAGGAACACATGTAAGCACCTATGTCCTTTATGAATTGAAGTGAATGAAAGGGTAAGCAGGATATTGTGTGGTTACTCAAATGCTGCAGCTGACTCACACTGCTATGACTCTGTGTGTCAACAGTCTATCCAAAGATCCTAAATGGCTCAAAGTGTGAGGTTCAGTCGGGGGTCCTGACCTGCGTGTGCATCAGTAAGGGGATTCCTTTACCCTACATCATATGGCCGCTGTTGAATAACCACTCTGAGTACTCCGTCATCACCACTGTGTCACACCAAACTATCCACAGCACCCTAACTGTAAAGGACCACAGCAACACTGTTGTTGAGTGTGTCGGACGCAGCAAAGTTGGGGAAGTTCAACACACCATCCCTGTTATAACTTCACAGAAGCGAGAAGGTAAACACATTCATAACCAATGACTGATAACCAGCAAAAACATAGTTTCTGTTGGTCTTTTAAGAAACGGTTTCGTGAATTGATTCTATGAAAATACACATTATGCGTAAAATCGTATGAAATTGTGATCCAATAGAGTACATGTACTGTAATTTAACTGGTTTATCCTTTTCTTCAACTATAATTCAAACCCCACAATCATCTCTCATGTGAATATATTTGATAACTCCATCTGTGTATATTTTGGTATTGGTCACCTACAGGTACATATCCATAACATGGGGTGTTAGTAGCTATACTGACTTTACAGCATTAATATAACTCTTGTCACCCTCTGTCATTTCTACTAGCAAATCAACATGGACCAAGTGCACAGCTTCCCTGGGTTCTCGTTGCTGCTGTTTCTCTTTTTATAAATGTCATCAGCATAATCCTCATCATGTTCCTTTGGTATGTAACCACAGTACTGTATATCAACATTTATTGCTTGCAAGGCTCTGTCAATGCAGTTTTAGACAACATCTCTTCTCTCCAAAGGCACACAAGAAAAAAGGTGAAACCAAACCAAGAAGACAGAACCTACATGTCAATCAAGAAAACAGACGTGTCATCTGATTATGAAGTTATCGCCCAGCCTCTGAACTAACCAGCTTTACCTGAGTGTAGTAGAGGATGATTTTGATCGTATCGTCAAAAGTGCAATATTGTATTAGTTTCAAATGTCGACATTCTTTTCATTGAACTGCCACTTATATTTTGTGTTTTTACAGTATATTATATATATAATACCTTGTTAAATTCAACATGTATATTTTCTACTTTCTTGTTTATCACCTGTCTTGAATTCCTATTGTACAATGCCATGTCTTTTTATGCTGCTGCAACGCAAACATTTCCCAAATTTGGATCAATAAAGTACTATCTTACCTTATCTTATTCTTTTTTTTTCGTATTACATTAGAATTACCTTTATTTGCCCAGCAGAAGATCAGGGAAAGTGCAGTACAATCACAGTCGTTTGTAGCTTGTGCTTTTTCAGATATATTTATGAAGATTTGGAAAAAAAACATAAGTGAAATACATTGATTATTGTGTATATTATTATTTGTATTAAAATTGTCATTATAAAAGGATCAGTATTGTTAACAATGTGTTTTGCATTCATTCTGTACGCTTTACCTTTAAAAAGAAGAATTTATCCTGACAGGAAGAGTCATTTTAATTTACTTCACACAATTTTACATTACAACGTATCACAAAAAAAAGAAGAAAGTCAGACGAATATTCAACCTTGTCTGTCTGACCAAATGGCTCATTTTGTACAACTCCATTATGATGTAAAGAACCAAACCACAGGAACCACAAACCATAGAAACCATAGGAAACAGATTTGGTTGAAGGTATTCCCTTATTGCGTAAATCCAAAATGATTAAGGTCACACTTCTTTTAAAATGATTAAGTCAGTAAATAATCTCTCTGCGCTTCCACCATGTCTGCAAAGCCTTCTGAAATTAATGTCAGATAGCTTCACTGAAGTAAATTAATTCTGGACAAAACAAAATGTTGAAGCTCCGAGACCCTCATTGGTTTTGTATGAATGTTGTATCAGCTGGTTAACATAAAAAAAGATATTAAATAGCAAAGGTTTTTTTTTTATCATTCAGACCTTTTTATGCAAGAGGCAAAATATGCTTAGCAGAGTTGGAAAGCTAAAAAGTAATGACAGGACATAATCAGCATTTTAGACGGGTCCATAAGAAAAAGCTAATAAATGCAGTAATAGCTACAACATATAAAATAGATTATGCTACATTCATAACCTTAAATGTAATATATTGCCTACTTTCATACAAGCATTAGCTGTGTTTTGTTGTGTTTGTTCAATGTCACACTTATAAGAAATGTTTTTTATCCCACATTAAAGTTGACAAAAATGCTCCTTCTTGTTCTCTGGAGGGGACTTTGAAACTCAAATTACTCAAAAAGTACACAGTAAAAGTAGTTCATATTATGTTTGCAAGTAGTCTAAGAAGTACTAAGTACAAACATGGCAGTTTCATAAACTACTTATGGAAGAAATGTTTTTTAGACCACATTAAAGTTGACAAAAATGCTCATTTTTGTTCTCTGGAGAGGACTTTGAAACTCTAATTACTGAAAAAGTACACAGTAAAAGTAGTTCATATTATGTTTGCAAGTAGTCCTAGAAGTATTAAGTACAAACATGGCTCCTTCTTGTTCTCTGGAGGGAATTTTGCCATTCTCAAAAAGTACACAGTAAAAGTAGTTCATAGTATTTGTGCAACAAGTTTATGAAGCAATAAGTCCTACAATTTTTCTCATAAATTACCCTGTTCCTCAATCGCAAATAATAGAAATGAACCACATGCCTTCCTTTACTTTGAAATCCAGCTTCCCAGAGTTGTTTTATTGCATTACCGTAAACCTGTAACTAATCGCGCACTCAAAAGTGAAAGACGGCTGGCTTGACCGCAGTCACTTACCAGCGTGTGCTGTGTGTGTGTGTGTAACATAACTTTGATATTAATTAGCTACTTTACATAATGAAAGTATCAGTAAATAGTGCTAAACTACTCAACAACAAGCAGGCCTAAGTTCTGCATTCAAACATTCTCACCTTGTGACTCTGTTTGTGTCGTCCTTGTCAAAAGGAGACTCTTTGTCTGCTGGGAACTATCACAGACTTGTTTTTTAGTACTTTGCCATATTTTTTGTATTTTGTCTGTGGACACATGTGATTGTAAAAGAGTTGTAACCATGCAATCACGAAACTCCTGGACTAGCCTCACGACCCTCTTTGATATGTTTGTTGGGTAGGGATTTGATTATTTATGTTTGCATTTGGATATTCGTTTTATTTTTTTATTGAACACCTGGCTTCTACAAACACGTGTACAACATAAAAAACCCTTTGGCAAAAGTATTAGTATTCAGTACAATTAAAAGTCAAACAACAGAGTCCTTGAAATTGCTCTAACCAAAATGGAAGGCACGTGTTGCAGGAGAAGGCATCTCAGCCAACTTGTAAAGGGCAATCAGCTGTGAAGTTGGTGCCGATCAGGATTTCAGAATACATTGTCACAATGTTCATAAGTATGCAGACATATTGACCTATTTCAAGTCGACCTTTCTAGCCTCTTGCATTGCAGCGACTTTACAGAGAACAGTATCTACTCAGATATTGCAGAATAAAAAACAGAAAGACACACAAATGCAGAAGTGCTTCCTAAGAGGATGCATGCAGTTGAAATGGGGAAATGCCCTACTTTCTTTATGAGCCTTTTGCTATCTATCACAAGTTAATGTTTTGAATTCATAAAACACTGTTCATTTGGCCATCATCACTCCATTCACTGCAGATATTAGGAACACAGACCATATGCAGCAATGCACATTATGAGATTTAGGAAGAAGATATAAAGACCTTTCATACGTCGTTCAATATTAATGCTTGACAGAAAACTATACCAGTACTTACAATCATTTTCTGTTGTCTAGGATTTAACAAGATTGTATATATATATATCAAATCACAAGTATTGTATGTAAATATGTAAATAAATATTTACATATTTCCTTTTCAAAATATTGACATAGTCACGAGGATGAGGTTGAGGCTGTGGCTCAGTGGATAGTGTGCTGGACTTCAAATCAGGGCATAGCAAGTTCAAGTCCCACTGCAGTCAGCATGTCATTGTGTCCCTGGGCAAGACACTTCACCTCAAATTGCTCCTGTGGGGATTGTCCACAATATTGAATGTATGTAAATCGCTTTGGATTAAAGCGTCTAACAAATGACATGTAATGTCATGTAATGATCTGAAAAAAACAAGCAAACGAAAAAAGTGTTGCTCATGCTAGGTGTTGGGAAACTCCCTGAAACTTTGACGTTGCATAAGAGGGAAGAAATAGATGAGAGAGGAGAGGAAGAGTCAGGTCATAGCAGAGACACTCAGCAGAGATCACTGTGGAGAGGAGACAGCAAGAAACAGGTAAGACACAACATCTATATTTATGTTTAAAATAGCCTTTTGGTCACATTGAATTTGTTAAATGGAAATGTTATCTCCTAGCTGTATCACAAAAACGCTTTTTGACATACTTTGACTTTCTGGTAAAGTGAGGCTGAACTCAGTTTATGAAAGAGTGCTTGGGGATGGAATAAGTCCTTTTGAAATTTTTTTATAATGATATATGTCACAGTTATTTCAGTAAATTAATTGGGGGGGAGCAAAGTTGCAGTTTTCAAAAGCTAACACTAAAGTTCATAAGATATTTTGAACAAGTGTCACAAAGTGCTTTAAACTAACAAATGTCAGGGAAGTCCCACCCCAGGGTAGAGTAATCTTGCGATTATCTTAATGTGCAACGTCCTGTATTAAGTTATGTGTCAGCGGTGCAGCTTCCCTTTGGTTCACTTCCTCTATGTTTGCTGCACTTTCAGTGTCAACTTTGTCCTGTGAAGACTGACGGTCTCAAGTATCAAATCGGGATGTTTGTTCTAATCTGTGCAACGCTGCTTTTCTCTGTGAGGGGCATCCATGCAGAAACAGGTACTGTATGCATTTGTACATCATGTTGTTATGCCAAAAGGAAAGATTTAAAAAAATATAATGCCAATAATGTCATGATAAGTGTCCTTTGTTTCATTATATTCCTGACATGCTTCCAAATTACGTGTTTTGTTTTTCCACCAGCTCATAAGTAACAAGTCCTTGCAGCATTGATCAACTAACTTCATTTAGTTGGCCTTTTTGTTATAGCCTATGAAACAAAAATAGTAATATAGCAGCCTTTCTTTACCATTTATTTAATCAGAATGTATTTGATTTCATGATATGTTGTTGAAATTAAAATAACCTATATCCCTGATTTTGTATTAACAGGTGCATCGGTTTGGGGAAGACAATACTGTGAAGCAGGAACATACTGTATCACTCTTGGTGAAGCAGATATAACAGCAGAGGCTGGACTCTGTGTTGTGATACCGTGTTCTTTCACTACTCCTGCAGCCTTTAAACCCAAACATATAGTTTGGTACAAATGTGAATCATCTACAACATGTGGTGATTCTGACATGATATTCCACACCAACAAGTTAAACACCAAGGTTCAGTCTTTGTTCAAAGGACGGGTTTCACTGTTGCAGCCTGATGTGAGTCAGGGGAACTGCAGCATCATCATCAACGACCTCACTGAGTCAGACTCTGGAAGATATAAACTCAGAGTTGATGGTTTACTGAATGGGAAGGTGGATGGATTTACATACCCTGAAAGAGCAGTTCTCTCTGTAAAAGGTTTGAAGATCTACAATACATATTCACAGTGAATATTTTCAATTTTGTACCCATGAAATGCACCAACATATTTGATATATTTATAGTCTCTATTCTGCATTAAGTAATTCAGCATTAAGAGCTTTTGTCAACCTCTGTGGGCAACCAGTAGGAACAGCAGCAGTTCCTGATATAACTTTTACTCAATGCCCAGTGCAAATGTTTAACCAAGTATCTGATATTTTTGCCCAGATTTAGGAGAAAGACGACCTTTAAGCTGTTGAACTGATTTCACTAACAGACTGCTCTGTCTTTAGGTCTGACCCAGAAGCCCTCAGTGATGATTCCTCCTCTGGCAGAGGGGCAGCCGACCACACTGACCTGCACTGCTCCTGGTCTCTGTTCTGGATCTGATCCTAAATTCACCTGGACATGGAGAGGAGCAGGAGAGAAGGACTCTCAGATCACAGGAAACATCATTGCTCTCAAGACTGAGAATCTGACTGCTGTCACACAG